CTTGCTCAATTTTGTACCCATATTCTTCATGTACAAGTAGCTGAAAACCTTCGTAGCCCAACGCTCTTCCCCCATTTTTCTCAGTCGCTTCTCAAATTTTATCTTGCTGCTAGCTTCCCTGCCCTCAAACGATGTCCATCCCATATCATCTTGTACTCCCTGATTTGGTGTATTCCCGTGAGCTCCTAAAGCAAGCCTACCTATTCCACGTTGCTTAATTTCTAATCTTGCTTGAACTCCTAATCTCATGCACAAGACCGCATTGCCGAACGCCAGCCCAGGAACCATGACCCCTTTGCATATTCCCCTCACAACATCTTGCCTATTGTAATTCCACAGTGCCCTATTTTTCATCACTGCTGCATTCCTGTTACCTTTAGTCGTCACGTATATTTCGTGTTCCCTTAGGTACTCGGCCCCATTGCTTATCTATATGCCCAGATATTTGTATTTATCTGTTATCTCCAGCATAACCTCCTGTATTCTAAGCTCACTACCTTCATTGTCATTAAAAATCATCGTTGCTGATTTTTCCTTACTGAATCTGAAATCTAAGCTATCTCCCTGATTACCGCAGATGTCCACCAATCTCTGCAAACCTTCCTTAAATTTCTCCCATGCGGACGCGTGACGAACGCGCACTCTTCCGGCGTATCAAAACTATTGGCCGCTTCTTGAGACCGCCCCACCTACTGACGTGGTGCAGGTGGAAAGGGTTTTTAACTAGGCCCTCCTCCTTTCGGAACTTTCGGCTGACATTACAGTTGCACTGGCCCTTTTTATAGCAATAAAGTACCCCGATAGTAGAGGTTTTATTGTGCAATCACCGAGGACAAGGTAATTGTTGAAAAATATTCGCTTGGCCTCAATCGAAATTGCACGTGGCACCAAAGCATACTTGCTCTCATAGAAATAGCTTGTTCGCTGCGTATATATGCACTATAGTGCATATATACGAGCGTACTTAAGTTTTCTATAGAAAACCTAAATACGCGCGAAAACACGTAATGTGCTCGTTTTTTTTTCCTTTGTAGATTTCGTCACTCTGCTCCCTGAAATGATGGAGTTGCGTCAAGGTGTCTTCTGCTGTTTGCAAGCGTGTAGCTGTCATTTCTTTTCATGCCAACAGATTCGCAACTGTACAGAATATTTCTCTGCGTATTCTAGGTATATGCAATGTATACTGTGTTCTAATTAGTACGTCCATTCATGTTTGCAGCACTCACGCCGGTGCGAACTGGAGCAGCTTCTTACAGCACAAAATCTCGAGTTATCGGTTCACTATATTATTGAAAGAATGAATTGCGGTCTTGTTCTGAGCATTGTACACCTTGACCTATTTCTCAGAACGCGATAACTGTGACGAAAAGTACCAACGAATCCAACAAGGGTTTACTTACGCTGTACGGTGCACCATATCCATGCCGGTCGGTTGTCTGTTTCGTACCTTCTGATGGAGTCGCTGGGATTTCACCACTGGCATCATTTCCTTCCCGTTAATTCACGTTTCTGGTATGGGATCACAACGCAACAGAAACTATAATACTAGTCTTATGTAGGGGCGCTATTAAAAATGCAAGACGTTTCATGGGCAGAGTAAGATACTGGGCGAGCGCGATTTTGCCGGCACCTGAATGGAAGCGAAGGAAATGTATACCCATGAATCTTTCCACCAGGGGAGAAATGAGCGCTAGTGAAATTTAAGGCGTAACTTAACCAGCCGACATCTATTGTCGCTGCAGTTCTCATTTCTCCTCTTCAGTGTCACTGACCAAACTTTGCTTAGGGCGTTGCTTCCCATACAGCGAGAAGTCACCTTGAAATATGCTGCTTACACGTATTGCCAGGTAGTTGGTGCTCTGTGTTAATCAGCGCCCACCTGTGAGCCGTATGGTAACACTTGATGATTATTTCTCGAAAGGCGATGCTGCTCGCAGTGTACATCGACAACTGGCGAAAAAGCTACAGCAGTCGAAGAAACGGCTTCCAGCTGTAGTTATACACGGTATTCATACGACTGGAGTGCCGAAAGAACTCCAGAAAATCGATCGGAGCACGATGCATGCATGCAAAACGCGATTCCTGAAAACGACATTGGTTTTTACGTGTTGAACAGACCAGGAGTTGCGGCACGACGACACTAGAAGCCGTATGCTCACGATGTCACGGAAACTAGGCGCGGACTATAGCTTTCCCCCAGTTAGTGAGAGCAAACTGAAGTTCCAACCCAACTAGCGAAAAGTGCTTTCCTGGCTGGTGCATTCCAGCTATCAGATGGGAGCTCCCTGCAAGCCATGTGTGCTTTTTGGAAAAGAAAATTCCGGCAAGGGGACTCACCAAGATTTTGGTGCCTTGGTCTTCTCTGTGTTCACCCGTTGGAAGAATGCGCTCGAAAATTTCAGAAAGCACAATGAGTGCGACTATATCACACGACCACTGCTCTATACGCAAATAAGTTTCTAGAAGCACTCAAAGGTGAGTCAATCGCGGAAAAGGTGGA